GACTATTCTTAAAACGGTTTCATCCAATTCATTCGGTTTTATTTATGACAATTGGGGGTAAATTAGTTGCATTATTCGTGGACATCATTCATTGTTAACCATGAAGTTGTAGCGCCAACGTAATTGGGGGGGGAGCACGCTTCGGGGGAGACGGGTAAGAGAATCGTAATTTGCCGCTCCGCCGCGCGCGGCCATGGGCGCGGCGTTCTCTTACCTCGTTTGTTAACCTTTCGATTGGAGCACCGGACTTCATGTAAATCTTCGGTTCTGCGATGAATGTTGTCGCCATCTGCTACCTGGAATCGTCATTTGCGGGCGCGACGTCGCACGCGACGCCCACCAGCGCAGCGATTACGATTCTCTTGCCACATACCCCGCTTCCGGAGCGTGCGACCGTGGCGACTCTGGTCGTCTGCGCTCTACCTTTGACCGAGGCAGTGATCTCTTTCATCACCCACTCTGACTTGTGAGTGCGCGAACGGCCAGATTCTATGCGGGCTACGTTGCTGTCTCTAACTTTTGGCGGGCGTATCGCGTGGGACTATGCTCCTTATAGCTCCGAAAATAGGGGTATTCGGCGCTCCTCTCTGCTTTAGGCGAAAGTCCTGATTCTCATTGCAGAAATCCCAGAGGATTGCACAAGGAGCCCTTTGAATCCTAATCCCATCTGCTCCCCCCCCCCCCCCCACCAACCCCCACCAAGGTTATCAGCGCTTCTACGAGCTTCCTTTCCACAGAATATTTGAGGAGTTGGACGGTATTCAGTGCTGGAAGGTGCCTGTGTCCTTGACCGTGTTTCCATCGTCTTATTCAGCTCACATTTCTTTCCCAGCGTTTGTTTTCGCTTTTCAAACTCATGCGAAAGTCATATGGCGATGTTTTCAGTTCATCGTTCGTTCCTCTGGGAAGTGTTTGTTATTATGAAAGTCAAGCAGTTGTGTAGAAAAGATGGTCTTTGAAAGTTCTTCCCTTCAGTAATTCCTTGTTTACGTCCAAATGTCATTCCTGCTCTCTCGCTCATGCGAGCGAAATTCATCGAGAACGTCACGTTTTGATGACTTCTCAAGAGAGATGAGGCTGTTGTGAGTGCCACAGCGGGTCGGCTTGGTGGGGGCACCAGATGGCTCTCAGCTAAGCTTGTACAGGCCACCTTGCAAAGACTTGTAAATACCTGTAACCAAGGTGTCCCACTTCACATTTTCACAGCTTCAGAGAGGTCTACACGTTTGACCAGAATGAAACCTGTTACCTAACATGAAGAAGCAGAAGGAGCGAGCGAAAGTGCAAAACGCCCCCTCCAAGCCGAAAAACATCGTACAAGTTACTACACTTGAGGAATTTGAACTTTCTGACTAGCAGTCACGATATTATTTCCCTCTGCAATTGCACTTGTGGCATGCAAACTATATTTTGCTACTTTATCAGAATCTTTTTTTCAAAGATGCAACGAAAACCATTTATCAGCGACATTGCGAGTTCGCTGATGTCTTTCTTTAGTGATCACGAGTTAGCATAAAACCTCAAGTTGATCATCGCTCGCCCATCAACTTCGTCAAGCTCCAAAAGTTGAGGCAAACGACTTCAAGTTTATATATGCCCCCCCCCCTTAAAAGCAGAGATTTTGACGGAACGCCCTCAAAAGGTGTCTGGCGTTTTCAGGTATCATAAAACAAGGCAACCGTTAGACCACGTTCATACTAACCGACTCGGACGAAGTAGTCGCGTACGATTTGGGAGCCGCGCGCCGTGATCGACGCGCTTTGCTGCTAATTATTGGACCGCTGCGGATTGTTGTGATAGAATCAGCATTTGCAGTGGTCCAGCAAGCGACAACGTAGCGAATTCCATCGTAGTCGCGCAGCCTAAATGGGGCAGGTGAGTCGCTCGACACGCAAAGTGAGAAAGCAGCATTGGAAACATCGGGATTGCTCGTCGTGAAGTATAACCGCAGCCTAAAGGAGGGAAGATGGGTGCTGAACTTAGCCGCAGATTACCGAGGGAGAATGGAGCTTCACACGAGGGCGTTACGAGTGGAAATCCTTCTTGTACGAAGGCGAGGGCAGTGTTAAAAGGTCCCCTGTCCTTTTAGAATGTGAATGAATGATAGCTCTTGTGATAACGCGAGAAACTGGCCTTCTCTGAGGCATATCAGCTTAAATTGCCGCTCATTTACTTGGCGAGGGGTGGGGTGGGAGGGAGCGCGAATGGGACCTTAAAGTCCCTTCCCTTCCAAGGCTTAGCAGAGGCTGGACGACCAGAGACGGCGGGATGTTGTCACGCAAAGCAGTCATGGCTGCGCTACCCCCTACCCCTCCGCAGAACTGCATTAGGGTCTCTAATTTTATCTACATGGCAAGAAGAGTTGTGGAGGGTACTGCTTAAAGTTTGTGGCGCTAATATAGTTAGATTGAACTCGTCGTGGTTCACGCTTTGTACTCCATCTTATCTTGCGAGGCTTTCACTCGGCGACTCTGGTCGTCTGCGCTCTTATCCCAACCCTTCGTTAGGGGAAATGGAGGTGCAGCCGAGGGCCGACATTTTGATTTTTTTTTTGTAATAAAGCGAAGAGCTGTGTGTAAGTGCATTACAACGTCTTTCACCAGGAAGCTGCATTACAGCGTCTTGTACCAGGAAATAGTTTTATTGAGTTTAATTTTCACCGAAACAAGTGGAGGGGGCTGATCTCTGACTATCTATGTATTCTGTAGTATTGCAAGTGTTATTTGTTGTGTACAAACGATTATTTTGAAGAGTAATACCGTAATTTGCGGAACCGGTTGATGTGGCCAAAGATCTGTGTCTCTACAGTAGTGCCTGATTTCGTCCTTTAAATCTATGAGCAGTTTTATTTAGTTATAAATGATTTTATCTTTCCTATCGATTCTTTATAGGTCGTTGGACAACCGATACCGAATACGAGACCATCAAATCGAACGCTATTCTGTAGAAAATGCGAAGGACATGGCTTACAGGTGGTCTTGAAGGGTCATGCATCTCGATGTCCATACAACAACTGTCAATGCAAAACAGTAAGTGTTCTCTTGTGTTATTCTTCTCAATCATCTTCTTTTTATTGATCGATCGATCGACTGGTAGTTGCTGGAAATTCGCGCGTCTGGGAGGGGGTGCAGATCAGCGCGACGTGAATTTGTCATTGGGGGTGTTTTCAACGACGACGATTGTGATTCATCTTTTTGTTTTCAATGGAAACTGTCAGAAATGATGACAAAATGTGCGTGTGAGGAATTTGCACTTGAAGTGATCGATGTTCGCCCGGGACCCGAAAAGCTCATGTTTTGAGGAAGAGTGTTAGTCTCAGGTGCTTAAATTTGGCTTGTTGTGTTAGTCCAGGGCAGGAAAGTGTTTGAATGATGAACCTGGGCCATTGTCATCTGAACGCTTCGATACACTGGAAAACGCTTCACCGACGATGATTCACATGAAATGCACGAATTCCTTTACAACACATGTTGTGCTAGCGCTATAGTGTAGCGTTTCCCCATGCATATGTTCAGGCGGAATCATAGCTTTTTTGGGTCGAGAACATGTTCTCAAGATGCTGCCTAATGTACGGTTCATATCTAGAAGATGGATGGGGCGTGACTGCGTACCTCGTTTGAACAGTGCCAGGACACGTTTTCGTGGGATACTTCCATTGGAAGAACCTTCTTTCATGCTGTGAATGTAATCATGCTGGCAGTGACATGAGTACACTGTCCCAAAACGGTCATGCACCACCAGCAGCTACTTCCAGGCAAAATACGCAGCCACGCCCTCTCCATTTTCGGGATATGCGTTTGGGTTGAAAGAGCGCGACTGAAGGCGCTCCACTGGTAGTCACCGAACCGTCAGGGTATGTACAAGACAATCATAGTATACCACGCGAGTGGGCATGGCGAGTGACGTCGCGCAAGGCTGACGAGTTGTCCCGCCTGGCCGTTTCGATCTCTTTCTAAGGGGTTTCGGAAGGGAAACCTTTATATCGCTCGTCATGGAGTGTCTCTTCGCTTGAATTTAGATAAGTTTCGCCACCGTAGGCAGCTAGCTGATTCACACCGTAGATTTGCTGCTCATCGCCGCGCTGTACACCGTGCGAGACGACACAACAAATTACGATTGTCTTGTCCGTTTCCCCTGCAGCCCATATTTTAATAGAGAGACTTTTTGATGGGTTTCCAGCTTACATGCTGGCAATGATCTCTTCAGTAGTCGAGGAAGTTAGGAATGCAAATCATCTTTAATTCAACACTTTTCAAATCAGATAAGACACATTTCGAATGAAATTGGACGAATTTCAATTTGTGCCCGCCACTTTTGAAGTCAAATTGGACGAGTTAGTCTGCGCCTACTTCAGCCTTCGACTAGAAAAGTGTCCGCTTGATCTGAAAAAAAGCCCAGTTTGGGTTGAAAAACGTCCCATTTCATTTGGCAAGCGTCCAGTTCTATTTAGAGAGTGTCCATTCATTGAGGAAATGGCGTATAGGGCCGGATAATGGTCCGAATGTTGCATATGGCTTGTACTTTTTTGAATTTCAGTGTTCGAACGTGATGTCAATGAGAGCAAATGCCATCATCCGAAGATATCGCACCAGGACACTAGAAGGAGGACTTGTACTGAAACCGGTCCATTTCAAAAATGGCAACACTCGTCTCAGAGTATTCCCAAAATATGTTGATGGTAGGATTTTACGGTTGTAACACATTAAGCATTCTCTGCAAATTTATCTTAAGAGGTCCCAGTCGTCAAATCGCTCGCAGACTAGGTAGTATCCTTAGCTAGTTGACCTGACCCTACCTCGGCGTAAGATCGTGAGGTCATGGCGGGCTACGGCCTATTGCATCTATTTCACGGCTCTTTCACACAGAATCCGGCAATCGATAAATTGATTTTTTTTCCGTTTCAAGTTTTGAGGATTGCTGTCAGATCACATTTATTTTCCCAATTTGAAAGTGGGATGCCATCCAGTCATTCAATGACCTCAAAGTTGTGACAAAATTCATCGATTGTCGATTCTTTTTCGAAATAATGCCGTGAAATAGGTGGTAAAGCCGAAAAAAAAGATAAAAAGAAGAAGTCGAGTCATTTAGCTAAGGATACCGGCTTGTTTGGGCGCGAAGGCGCTTCTCGGATGTTCTAACCACACCAATATTCCACCAGATTATTGCTCTTATAGGGTCGATTCTTTTTAGAATCGGATGCATTGCCCATTCCAATGGAGAGAAATCGCGAAAAACATCTATCGGGTGATGACAATTCGTCGAAAGGCTCTACAAATCCGACTACACCTCCTGTAAATGGCACTGCTGGATCATTTGCTGTCAAGCGCAGCTTTAGCGAAGTGAGTAGCGCTAAGGCTGCGTTCATACTTTGCGATTCGGGAGAATTCGTGTTTTTAGCGTATTAGGAAGTATAGGTATCAATTTGAACGACAGCGAACGAGAATAGAAGGCTCGTTGTTGTAGAAAGAATGGGAGAATAGGGGAGGTGCAGCCGGATGGATTAGGCGTCATGGAATGCACCTTCCATGACGCCTAATCCATGGCGTCTGTAATTGCACCCTTTACCGCGTCCCTGTTTTGTGACGCCTAGTCTAGCAGTCTGCGCCTCTCCTAATCTCCCAGTCTTTTTGCAACGAAGACTTCGCTTCTCTCACAGAGCGCTAGATCGATACCTATATTTTCTTTTAGAGCATAAACGCTAATTCTCCCGAGTCATTAAGTATGAACGCAGCCTATTCATTTCCTTAGTTAACTATCCAAATGTAGGATTCGTTTCAGGAGACAGAACTACGAGAATTGCGCTCTTCACCTAAGAGATCACTTGCTGAACCGTCCGCAGGTGGTTCACCAGTTGATGACGGCACAACCTCGTTTTCACAGTTTAACAGTTCTGCACAAGCACCGAATCTGCTCGACATTTTATTAAGTGAGTTGCTGTCCTGTTTTGGTATAGGCCGCTCTTTTGCAACCGGGAAGGGGCATTTTCTGATTTCTATCAGCTTGGCGTGCCGTTTTATGAGGTCCTACGCACTTAACTTTACACGGAGTTGTGGGTACTGTATCCCGCCTGTTTTTCTAAACTTTCAATTCAACAGAAGTTCCGCTTGGTGGTTCAACTCCTTTGGGGAGAGAGGAGATTTTGTGGTACAGTCAGACCGTTCTTGCAGAAGTCCTTGCATAAGGAGTGCTTTAAATGTGTCCCTAGGCAAACAATTCCGAGTTCTCGTAGGAGAGCAGAGGCTTCACCTCCGGAGGGGCTTGAGGCGGGTAGACCCTTGGAATTTGAACATTTCATAGCTTTGCGTGGAATTTGAACATTTCATAGCTTTGCGGGCCTTTATAAAAAGCCCTCCTCCTCCCAAGCTCAGTTTACAGCCTCACGGGTTTTATGAAATGCCACTCCCCACCAAAGCCGACCTGCATCCTCCTGAAAGTTGATCTCCGCTCTTTCTGACTCAGGGATAATTAGGAATGCTTACTTTTTCTGCGATTGCTTCAATGGTCTTTAATCGCGATAGTGTGTGGGTGATTAATCACCATTAGCTGCGAAGACAAAAGCATTCAGCTGAATGAATCTAATTTATTGAGCTTAATGGCTTCCGCGTGAGTCATCCGAGTTCATAAACTCTTCGGCTCAAATAGTAATCCAGTTGCTAGGCAGCAATAAATGAATGTGATTGCGTGACTAATAGGATTCCTTTTTCACGTGGGAATTTCTGTTTTTAATTCCAGTACAGCAATCGTAAGTTTTACTGCAGACGCTTGTGCGTGTCAAGTTAAGGGAAGGGGCTTGGTTTGGCTTTGCTCCAACCCATTCTCTACCTTTCGTTGAAGCGGGCAAAAGACAATAATTGGTGGAAAACAGGCTGACGTCGCGCCAACCTGGCCCCTCCCCTTCCTGACAGATGCCTGATAGCTTGAACTTTTGGTGGGGTCCTAGCGCGAAAAGTCTGTGCACGAAGAAATAGAGGACTGCGGCTGCCAAGGCATTGAAAAGTGCAAAAACATGTCGCGAACCAAGGACGGGTTTTTTCAGGGAGGGCTGGGCTCCGGGATGATTGAGCTCCCTATGCGTGGTTAATTGCAAGATGGAGGGTCACAGTGGTCATGGACTACAAAGATGAGAGAGCGCAGAGAAGAATAGAAATTGATGCGACTGTAGGGACTGAGTGCGAGTTGTCCGAACCTCCAGTGTCTGCAGCGAAAGCGACATT